GCTACGTTCAGGAGCTATCAGGCGGTCGGTCAGGATCTTCTGCGATAACGTATCGCCACGTGACTGAGATCCACTTGGCCTGTCGGTCTAGGGTAACCTAGTCTGGTCTTGCGCTGTGACATATAACCCTAGAGTATTTAGTAATCTAAGTTACTTTTATTTCTGCTTTTTGCTTATTTAATGCTCTGTTATAGATAGCATATAACTTTTCCTAATATATCTTGGTATATTTATTTATAGTTACTATTATTATACCTTTCTTTATTAGGGCAGTTATTAATAAATTCTTTATTAAATAGCTATTGCTGGTATTATTCTTTTAGTTTTATGCTTAGGTCTTTGTCTAATGTTGGTTATTTGGATAGTATATTCTCTTGTGTTATATATAGTCTATCTGCTTCTTATTGATACTATGCTTCTTTGGTGTTATCTATACTTATATTACTAGATAATGGCTATTTTATTGGGTAATTATATCGTTTATTATTAATTTTTATAGCTTTCTTTTTTATTAGATGGTTATATTATCTGCTGTTAATTTGTTCTTAGTACTTTTTTTCTTATTCTTGGATTTCTTCCTTCTTATAAGTATACTTTCCTTAAGTTATTTTTTTAAACTCTTTTTCTACTTCTTTAATTAGCTATTAGGAATACTTAATCCCTTTTAGTAGTTTTTTTATTTTATAGACTTATTGGTAGTAGGGTATACTAAATTATAATTCTACTACTCTAAGGTTATTATATTATATATATATAAGGTATCCTTCTGTTTTATGTTCTAGGTAAGGTTTATCGTTTAGTATGCCGGGTATTACTACTAGGAAATAATTATTATCTAACTTTTCTTACTTATATTTATTATATTAATAATTCTTATATAATGCCTAAGATATTTTGTTATATTAGGGGTATATTGGTATAGTTTGTGTATTATCTTTAGTGTTAAAAGTAGGTTCTTTATATAAGGGGTTAAGTATGTTATTTATGTAGTATACTTTGATATAGATTTTATTTCCTTTTTTAGTGTCTTTATATTCCCTGGCTCCCTATATATAGAAGTCTTCTTGTATCCTATATATTTATACTCTGAACTTATTATATTTTAATTAGTATTCTTCTATTTATTTTTTTATAATTTATTTATCTTTGGAATAAAGGTATTATATAGTTATTTATGCTGCTCTTCTTTTATATCTTATTAATTAGGAGTTTTAGTATTATTTCTATTAAATATTATTTCTGGCTTTAACTTCTTTTTTCTATATTTCTTCCTTATCCTAGAGTCTAATTCTAATAGGGATATTATCTATTATTTAGGATAACTAGGCTTACTTATCTGTATTAGGGGTAATTATTTTTCCTTCCCTAATAACTCTAAGGATCTAAGGTTCTCTAAGTTTTTATTTCTTATAGTTTTCTCGGCATTAAGTATTTTCCTTAGCTTGGTATATAAAGTTATTCTCTTATTTATCTTTCTTTAACTAGTAATAGGCTGCTTAGTGTTCTTTAAATTTAATACTTCCTGCATCTTTAGTATATTTCCCCTTGCCTTTAGTTGTAGTACCTCTTTCTATGGCTTCTTTATAGGTAGGGAATAAATCCTATGGTTTTTTAATTAAGCTGTCTAGGTGTAGGCCTTATTCTAGTTTCTTTATTTCCTTTAGGCTGGTAGTCTTATATCTGCTTCTAATAACTCTAAGTGTTTAGGGTTCTCTGAGAGCCTCTTTTTTAGTATTCTTCTTTCTTTATCTCCTTTCTTATTACTTCTATTATTTAGATACCTTCCTCTCTGGATCCTATATATATTTATAATAGTATTATTAGTTTACTTTATTCCTTTTAATTCTTTATTATTTCCTTTCTTCTTTAGTTAATACCCTAAGTTATCTTCCTAGTTAGGACTTAGGATCTGGTTTTATAAACTTAATTAGGTAGTTAGGAACTATTTTATAACTACTTTAGGTTATTCCTAGTATTTAAGTGTAAATAGCTATTTAAGGGTCTTACTATTTAATTAGTCCTAGGGTTTATTTACCTTAGTTTAGGTCCCTAGCCCTTCTTAGTTAGAGGCACCTGTGCACTATGTATCTAAATTAGTTATAGTTATAACATTTAGTCCTAGATATGTCTTACTATTTATTATTATTACTGGGTTAGGTGGCTCTAAGTAGTATTAGTCCTGATTATATTTTATATAAGGTGTTATTTAGTTAATTGCTTTATTATTATCCTTGGTTTTAAGAGTTACCCTGGTGGTTATTATTTTATTGCTAATTAGGGTAATATAGGTTAAAGTTATTACCTTATTTATAGTTTACTTTCTCCCTTCTGCGTTTATATTATTATTTATTAATTTTAACTGCTATAGTAATATATGCAGTTAAGCCTTCTTTAGGCCTATTAGCTAGGTATAGTTTATCCTTAACTTCTTCTTTTAATCCTCTATAGTAGATTTTTATTAGGGCTTTATTATCCTATTTAGTCTTAGATATAAGCTATCTAAACTTAGCAGAGTATACTGCATAAGACTTATACTGCTTAAGCATAAATAGCTCTGCTATAGCTTATTATTCTTTATTAATTATACTAAAATTATCTTTAAGGGTTTATTTAAAATTATCCTAGTTTCTAAAGATATTCTAAGTATCCTATTCTTATTTTTCTTTTTTATTTTTAAGGAAGTCTCTTAGGATTAATTTAAACTAATCCTTTGCATCTCCCTAGATTAAACTTGCAATATATAGAAGTTTCTTTATAAGGGTATTTAGCTTATTCTTATAGAGGCAGAAGTAAGCCTTTATTTAGGTTAAGAATAGGATTATATTAGCTGCCTGTCCTCTAAAGGGTTCTGGCTTAGGGGGTTTAAGTGCTTTACCTAAGTCCTATTTATTACTGCCTTTGCTAGTGGTTTTAGTAGGATGTTTATTTACCTGGGCTTGCAGAGTGTTAATAGTAGCGCAGAGCTGCTAGAGCTTGGCTATTATTTCTGCGGCACTAGGAGGTAATCCTATATAAGGAGGTGCTAGGCTGGTGTTACTAGTTATCTTAATAATATGATATTACTTAGTTATTAATGCAGTATATTCTAAATAAGAGCTATTAATATATAATAAAGGTAGTTTTAAATAGGGAAACTAGTCTATATTAGGTTTATATTTATAAATAGCATAGGGCATTAATACTAAGTAGGTTAATTATTATATCTCTTAATAATTAAGTAATATATATTAGGCTTATTAATATAAAGAAGTCTTATTAATAGCTAGTAAGTTATATTTATAAGAGTATTAATAAATATAGTTTATATACTAGTAAATAATAATAGTAATTAGTAAGGTTATTGTAGGATTAGTGGTAATCATAGTAAATTAACACTAATTATAATGGATTATCTATAATTATAGAGTCTTGGCACTGATCTGTTTTATGAGGCATATGCGTGATTAGAGGAAAATGCGGGGTATACGTGATATAACCGCTGGGGTTGTAACATTATTAAAGTTTTAAATATTATCTAATTAGATATTATATTTTATAATTATATTTTATATAAGCCTAAACTAATTATAAATAGTAATTAGATTCTTATATTAAGCCCTCTAATAGTTATATTTATAAAAAAAATATATCTTAAGCTATAATTACTACTTAATAGAATTAATAGCCTAGTACTTATTAATTAATAATATATTATATTTAATAAGTAGTTAATTTACTATTTTCTTAATATTATAATACTAAGAGGGAAATTCTTATAAATCTAGGTTTAGAATATACTTAATTATAACCTATTCCTATCAGAAATTAAGCCATTATGCCAAAAACACAGCATGCCAGTAATCATAGGCTTACTAGCTTATTTTCCCTTTATACTGCCTATTTCAACAATTCCTCCTAATTACTTAATTTCTAACTATTAGGGATATAATTAATATAAGCTAGTATACCCTAAGATTAGTAGTAGAGGTTATAAAAGTTAATATTATATAGAAATATAGCTTATTATAGACTTAATTTTAAGTCTTCCTAATAGGCCTAAAGTATAAGATTTATATAAGCCTTAATAGTAGATTATAATATATTATTTAATTAAGAATTAATTAATTAGATAGTATTAATATAAGGTAAGGGATTTTTATGCCACTTGCTTATCTATGCCACTTGCTTATCGCATATGTTAATACTATCTCTTATCTTATCTAATGGATTCTACTTCTCTAATAAATATATGATTCACATTTTAACATTTTTCACATGTCTCAACTACAAACAACCCATTAACAACAACAATGTCTTCCCCTCTTCAGATATCAACAACATCTGCTGAGATGCCCATACCTGGAGGCGCATTACAGAAAGATATGATCCGAGCGCTTGGATCGCCTATGTCTATATACGAGTTTTGCGTACACCTACCATTTCTTTCGGACGCGCTGAAATATGACCCAGTACTACGTGCCAACAGATTCTCTGTCAATGTGACTACAAGGAAAATCGATGCGGATGGAAGCACTGGCTAGAGGATGGTGTTTCTTCTTCACAGCATTGATCGAACGGCTTCACAAGCTATTGTCTCAGGCACTGTGGCGTACACGGCCGCGATGAAGCAATCCAAGTGGTTACAGATACCTACCGAGCCCGAGGGCAAGGTTCCCGGTATCTACGTAATTGGGCTTAAACGCTCACTGAAGGGCGGCAAATTTCTCAACGTCATTGAGACCGAGAGACTGATCGATGGTCTTCGGCGGTATGTAAAGGGGGCTCGCCTGTGCAGAACGAATCAATCACAAGACGCTTTAGACTCGGCGGATAAAGAGCTTGTGAAGTGGGTGTCAACCGTGGATTGGCAAGGGGGCTACAATCTCAGACCAGATTCAATGCCCTCTCCGCAATCCATCCAGAGCGATGGGGAGTTCTCAAAGATAGAAGGGTTGATCTCTTCGTTTGAACTACGCTGCGATCGGCAATTGGATCCCACGGGAAAGGTTTGCCAAGTTCAAAGTCCACTATATGTTGGATGCTCAATAGACTTGCGCGAGAGGACAAGCAAGTACGAGCTACACTCGCGAGGTGGTCTTTTGAGTGTCAATAAGCCCCTATGCCTTGTTGTCAACATTCTCTCGGCACTGGAACATCCTGTGGAGCTAAGTGTATAAGTTGTTGTCAGAAGATGGCAAGGAACTCCAATGCCAGTAGCGGACGTTTGATTGCCACCATCGCATGCTCCTTTGTTTACTAGCATGGATTCAACGTCGTCGAGGCCAGGGGGGCGGGATTCTCGATGCTCACAGGCACTTTGAATGTGTTGGAGAAGTCTGCCGAGATGCTCTTTGGTCACCAAAATACGGTGAAGCAGAATCTGGACACCACAGTCGCAGGGATAGACGAACGTCCTGATTTCCTGGAAACACTCGATTCTGTCAGGAACAAAGGGGGAGACCTTGTCAAGCAAGCCAAGCATCTTACCACAAACGACTCGAATTTCCAATGTGATACATTTCAGAAACTACAAGACGCTATGATGGCAAGGAAGGAAGAACAGTCAGAGCAGATTGAAATGGTTCACAAGCAAAGAAAGCAGAAAGAACAATCGGTCAAGATAACGCAGTTCAGGCAAAGCCAGAGACTGTGAACTACACAGAGTAACAGAAATGGCACTCGATGAACTATGGCGGAATTTGTATTGGTGTTGTATAGAAACAAGTAATTATAGGTCACACAGTACATGCAAATCATAACGACGCAATGGAGTAGATACATGTCGGAGGCATTGTAATTCACATTATCGTAGTAACTAGCTGATGTCTTTCGCTGAGGACTGTTGCTCGGATGATTTGAGGACAGTTTCCTTGTCTTCGGCCTTGTAGATCTCAAGCTATTTCGCACTTCCGATGCGGATCCCAAGCAATTCGTCTGGGACCTGGCACACCCGGCCCTTGACACTATGACGTGTCTTGTCGAGGCGGCCACTCAACAGCGGCCCAAGCTGCTCGCTCATGATCGTGGACTGTTAGCGACTCTCTGGGAGTAGCTACTCGATGTTTCTGGGGTCGCGTTTGGCTTTGGCCATGGCCTGCAGGTAACCGTCGTCGGGGATGGTGCAGGGGAGAATCCGCTGCCGGTAGACTACATCATCGAGGCATGGTGGGAACAGCGAGCAGACCTCAGTCATCCACGCTTGAATATCTGACCAAGCATTGATAATTTCCATACGAGCCGGTACCGTGCCAGGGCCCTTCTGCGCAGCAAACCCAACAATCAACATTCTGGTTCGCCGGTTGAAAGTGATTCGTACATCGCTGTAGAACAGATTGGCTCTGGCTAATCTATCTTCAGAGATGTATATATCGGTAGGGATAAAATCCCAGATCTTCATCTCGAAAGGCCCGACGATTGGGTCTTCGATAGCCCTCGGTCCTATGTAACGGTTCCAGACCCGTGTGCGCTTCTGCAGATCTGTGCCAGTGCCGTCCATGTCCTCCATCAAGGTCTCCTTCGTGACTTCGTATACAGTACCCGGAAAGTAAGGTCCAAGTGAGGATGCAGCGTTGTTAGCCTCTTCCTGGCTCATTGTAGTCGACCGCGGATTCCGAGTTGTCGAGGCTTTGCTGTTTCGACCAGTGAGAATTGGATCGCCATGCTTCCGCTCGAACTCATCTCCATTGAACGTGAGGTTGCGGCCTTGAGCACGAGTGCGAGCCTCATCCCGGTGAGAGCCCCTACCTGGACGACGTCCACGACTTCGACTATGATCTCGACCACGAGCAGAACCTCTCTCTCTGAAACCACCGGCATACCCGGTGCGTGAAAGATCCTTTGTTTGTCGACTCTCTGGACCTTGGTTGGTGGGATGTTCGAATGATAGACCCCCAGCGTGTAGCTTCCCGCTGGCTGCAGGTGGCTTCTCGGTCGCGGGTCCCTCTACGCCCTCCATCTCGGTCGTCTCCTTGGCAGAGCCGTTCTTCTCAGCAGGCATGGCGGCGACTTCTTTATTCTTGAGGTACTTGTCGTACAGCGCCGAGTTTCTGTCCTGTGGCGATGTCAGGTCCTTGTGAGAAATCCCCTCCCAAGGCCAACCTGGAACTTCGCGTTTGAAGCATTCCTTGAATAGCTTGAAGAAGTGCAAGTACACAATCCTGTCAACCTCAAACTCGAACCAAGGCTCACTGATAGATTTGCATCCTGCGGATGCCAAATCCGCACATGCTTTCTGCTCAGCGACGTGCCACTGTTCGCGGAGCCTTTTGTTCCAGGGCGGCAAAAGCCAGACCATGAACCGCTGCAGCTCTGGCCGTCGTGACTTCGTCTTCATCGGATCAACAGGCGCATCGGCCTGAGGAAATCGCCCTTCGTTGAAAGAGGATTTCATGTCCTTGTATGACATGCTTTCCGACATTGTGCGTATTTTTGACTGTGTTGTATGTGTACGCTGATGTGTGTGTGTGTGTGTGTAAAAGCAAGCTCAAGAGATATGAATACAGGCGAGTTTTGCATGTGTTGAGAAGAGCCAAAGAGGCTGGTGATGAACAATTAGTCGAATAAGACAGAATGAATTCTGTGCAATTTGATGTTGAGGGAGAAAGAATGAAGCTTTTATTGGATGGGTGAGAGATATATACTCCAGTAGGTCAACCTACGTAAGCGCGCAGTGAATCGCAGTGGCGTGTCACACCAATGGACTGATCAGAATCATCACACTGGCTGCCCTGTTTGGAGGCTGAAGCTGAACGGGCTGAACTACTCCCGAGGACCGATCTTTTTGTTTTGCTGTGCTCCCTTCTGAGCCGAACCTCCTCGTCTTTACACACTTCGACATCAGCCACCAACACTCGTTTACGCAGTAACAGCGCGCCCATCATGTCTGACGATTACCTGGACTTTCGTCCTATAGTTAAGCGTCAAGGGAGGTTCCATGTGGCTGAGCCTGTGAATATCTCATTGACAGTCTCTCGCCGCCCTCATGTGCGAGCATATCTAGAGTACATGTTTCCAGATCTGACACACTCTTGACAAACGATGGACAACTACGAGCCGAGCAGTTTCCCACACCCATGTCACTAACGGGGCAGAGAAGATTTACGCTCCTCTATTCGACTTTCTGGTGGATCGTGAGGTGTGGAAAGCTATTGTGAGTTGACTTAGGATCTGGCTTTGCCATGACTAACCACATTTTAGTCCTCGACATCAAGTCCCAGACGGCGCGCCAGTCTCTGTTCAAGACCCCGCGATGGCCATTCAGAATAACGCCGCAAATGACGCAAGACAGTCACCCATCCTCATGCGAATACGCCGAGTCCCGGAACAATTTGAAGAGAGAGAAACGCAAGACAGCCATGAGGGAGACCAAGCATTCCGGTTTTGGGGTGAGCGCCGCTCAGCCCAGCGACTCCTTATCATTTGTCCCGCAAGTTCCTTTGCCAACTTTGAATTCAGGCACCGAGATCCCGTCAAATGGCTCTGTTGCCCCAGTCTCACAACCCCCTTCAACCGTTCCATCCGAGATTAACGCTAAGGCACTGGCCCGTCTGCTGCCTCAAACGTCTTGTGAACACCAGCAATGCCAGGGCTTTTGGGAACTCGCTGGCGGAACCAGTTCTTTCGAATCTCCAATCAACGGTCCCTTCCAGATGAAGTTGCCAGATTTTGCCCCGATGGGCATCTGTGCCAACGTCTCTGACTGGTGGCGAATCAAGTCAGACTTCCTCCCGCTCGGTTTGGCTCTTACGGTGGAGTTGAGCATGAAAGATGACAAGGACGCTGATTTCGACCAAGTGCTCCCATTGGGATTCGCCGAAGATTGTGGGAATAAACTGTACGATCGGAATTAGCTGCTCAGGTTCTGGGGTTACATGCGAAAATGGCTCTCCAAGGTCTATGATGGAGAATCTCGGACACTTTGCTATCACCTGTTTGACTCGGTTGCCTCTGGTAACGGCAGCGTCAGGCCTGTCTCTGAGGGTCTTGATCATTTGTACATGAAGCACCGCGAACTTTGCGGCATTAGACACTAGACAGACGTAGCGGCTCTAAGCAGCCAGCATGGAAGGTGGATGGAACAGGGTTGGTTCATTGATGTAGAAGAAACTCTCTTCTTAGACAGATACCATTCCGAAGCCCGGTGATAGATTGGTGCTTTCGAATGCAAAGTATCCATTGTATGAGGTGAGGTTTGTCAGTCAACAATGTGCCGTGGGCATCCGTTCGACAAAACCACCTTGGTCCCGCTCTTTTGCATTCACTAAGGTACCTGCCTGGCGCTCTTCGCAGCTCGCGTGTGGAATCTCTTCACAACAATTTTCACACTCTCGCTCACACTCTTTCTACGGCACGACACAATATTTACAGCACTTGCGCGAGACACACCGTCATACGTCGAAATGGCCGACAACGGCGACAAGAAGAAGCAGGCCCACAATGATCCTAAGAATAAGGGCAAGGACAAGGACGACGACAAGCAGTTGACGAGTGGTGCTGGGTCGTAGAGCGGACAGCACAACTCGCCGGCTCAAGGTGCCAAGAATAGTTCTGGTACCCTTTTGCAGATTATGCCACCCAACACCCTCAGGCATCCGGCGGTGGAGGACGTGATGGACCAACTTGGCGCTGGCGCTATAAAACAGTACACGGACCAGCTGGGGAGGAACCAGTTGTGTGTGTCCACCTTGGTTGGCGTGCCCGCTATTTTCTTCAAAGGCGACAACGAGTCCTGCCTCACCCAGGTCGGGGACATTGCAGCTGAAATGCAGAAAATCGATCAGAGATTTTCAGGCATGCTGCTGTTCAATGACAACGACGTGTCAGGCGTCGTGGTGTTGACTGACAACAAGGTGTTGTAGGATAAGGACGCCAAAATCAGGTTCAAGCCGCTGGAGGACATGGACGAGGAGAAGGAAGCCTGAGTGTGCTCCTCACGCTGAGGAACAATCTGCGCCTGCTGTTCACGTCCAAGGTGAGTCTGGTGTCACTCCTCTGTCCGAAGAGCCTGTGGCTGCTAAGGCCGAGTCTGACCGCTTTTCGCAGCAAAGCTATGGCGTCACCCTGTATCGGCTGGCAAAGATGAAGGCGAATGGGAGATCGAGTCTGATGAAGAGGAAACTTTGAGTGATGACAATATTTTGCGAGTGCGGAGGCGAAAGAAGAAGACTGAGATGGAAAGGATCGCCCGACAAAGAGCTATGCGCATGAGATGATGAGATGTGAAGGTCTGGGGTGTTAAGGGATTAATAGTCGGATGGAGTGGTCACCATAAAGTCTGGTTAATTGGATTTCTGTCACTGTCACTTTGAATGCCAATTTGAACTCTTAATTGTGTGACACTTGGTAGATGTCGTTTGAAAAGGTGTTCTGATGGCCAATACACAAGTGTAGTGAAAACTACAGAGTCACGCATGCTATCTCAGTCATCAGGAAAGGTTCACTTTAAGAAAATGAGAAATTTTAAAGCAGGTGATATGCCAAATTATTTAAAGGAGCACTCTCTGTTTATAGGATATCTACCAATATGGTGCCTCCTAAGCCTCACCCTTAATGCCATCGTAATTCTGTCTAGGGCTGCCGTCAGTCCTAAGCATAGACTTAATCCCAAGCCCAGGTTATCCCAACCTGTCTCGAAACTCATTGACCCAGGTTACGATAATCCTTCCTGGAATTATTATCTAATCTCGGAAGTTAACTTCAGTCTTATCTCAAACCAGGGAGTGATAAACACCAAAAGCCGGCTTATCCTCTGGGATATTGTCAAAGCTAATTGCGTATTCGCTCCACCGCAAAAAGCCGTTGATGGTGCGTTTAGACGAGATGTCGAGCAGCTCGATTATGTTATTCTGTTTGACGCACAAACACAACTGCAAAACGTACGCTTTGAACAAGTGCTTTTAGATCTCATTGCACTTATCAGCCGAGAGCTCAGACTCTTCTGCGAATCCTTTCCGGACAGTTTCGACGCCGCATGTCGCAAGAGCAGATGAGATATCAGCCCAGGTTTGGTCAGCTTTCAAGCACAACGCCATCTTTGCGCTGTCGCTCAGTCCCGAAACCCCTGGGAGTGGAGTCTTGGAAAACATGTTCACCTGAGTAAAGCTACAGGTAGAGCGACCAAGCTGATTCCAGAGATCAAGTGCAAGCAACATATTTCCCTGATCGGAGAGTGGTTTACTATAGCCTGTACAGCCGTTGACCGCATGATGGAGAGGACTGGGAGTATCATCCCCTGGACTTTCATCATCAAAGTCAAAAATATTGATCCCTCCACTGTTGATCACAGCAACCAACTGAATTTTGGTTTGACGCAGGGCGTCACTACCAGTCTCGCATTCTTGCGCAACCAAGTACGCCAGTCGGTAGTCGTACTCAACAAATGGGAGTACTGTTAAAAAGACTGCCAACTCGCGACCCTCCAGACCCATAACCAATCGCTCATCTGTGTTCCACCTGAGAATACCATGAGTTTCCAGACGGTAAGCCATGGTCAGGTATACCGTAAACAGCCCTTCAGGGACAAAACACTGAACGATGGCGGCAGCATCAACCTTGGGCCCGAATGATGAGACAATTGCCATGAATGCTTTTCCTGTTAAGAATCGTCGCAGTCTCCCGTGAAAAGTCTCTTTGGTCGATACATCAGCAGGTTCTCATTACCTATGCAATTACATAAAACCATCTCGACCCTAAGAGACCCATGTAGTCGGGGAACAGTACAATGCATAAGCCGTGATTAACATCGCCTTTACCTAACTAACTGTAACTAGAAGTACATCATGTACCTTTCTTGGTACTATTATCACTCAAGCCCGTTTCTTGCCTTTGAGAAACACATGCAAGAGGATATACGATACGGCTCCAGTGAAGCACAGCCCGCTGATAACACCGAATCCCTTGAGGTACTTTGGCTTCTCTGAAGCGGGGAACAAGTACGCCCCGTAAATCTGCGCCAGATTACCCATTGCATTGACAAACGCCAGCGAGATGGCTCGAGTCTCATTGGGCATGGAACCGAAGGTTGTTGAGGCGTAAGACAACGACAAACCATTTGAAGCCCAAAGCGCCGCAGCCATGATGACGAGGAGAGCGTAGCGTGCTTTGAAATTGTAGACGACGCAGATGACGATGGCACACAACATGGCGATACTCATCCAGGCGCACAGTATAACGCCTCGCCATCGACTCTTCTTATCAGCGAAGTAGCCTGTGAGAGCGGTAACCACAAATGCAACGCCAAAGATGGGTATGGTCATGTACTGAGCTGTCGTGGATTCGTAACCGAGACCTTTGACGAGAGTGGGGTAGAAGTAGGAGAGGGTTGAAGAGCCCACGATCGCCTAAAGAGGTTTGTTAGTCAGCCAAGCCTTCAACATCACTAGGGTGATCGACAACTTACCATATAACCAACAACATAGAGCCAGGTGCGCCAGTTGGTCATGCTGAGTTTGAAAGCCTTCCAATGACCTAGTTTCGCTTCATCCTCAGTATGAACCTGTGGCCTGTTGTGTTGCAGTCTTTGAATGGCAAGATCAATCTCTGCCTGGCTGAACTTGAGCCTCGAAGTGTTTGACGGAAAGTCAGGAAGGACAAAGTATGCAATCACTGCCACTCCCATAGTGGCAGCACCTTCAACAACAAACAACCATCTCCAGCCAGCCTTGCCGTGTGCGCCGTCTAGGCCACTGGTGATAGAGCCAGCCAAGAGACCACCGAATGCACCGGAGAGGATGGCAGCGGAGATGTACACGGCAAATCGCTTGCTCTGCTCTTCACTCTTGTACCAAGAAGAGAGAAGCAGAAGAACACCAGGAGCAAATCCGGACTCGAGAACGCCCATGAGAATTCTAAAGCCGATCATATGTTCATAGGTGCGCGTGAAAGCCATTGCAATTGTGACGCCGCCCCAAACAAACATGATGCCGGGAAGATATCGACTCGGACGGGTTCGTGTGAGGATCATGTTGGAGGGAACTTCAAAGACGACATAGCCGACGAAGAAGACAACGAGGACGATGGAGTATTTGTTGGAATCGAGGTTAAGATCTTTGTCCATTCCGGCGATTTTGGCATTTCCGATACTGTATAGTCTTAGCCAGACTCTAACGCGTATGTGAAAGGGAGTATACTGACTTGGTTCTGTCCATGTATGAAAGGAGGTACATGAGCCACATCATGGGGAGAATGAAGAGGTCGATCTTGCGAACGAGCTTCTTCTCTTCTTCGGTTCCGGGTACATAGTCATCATGCGCCATGGACTCTTCCTTAGGATCAATGATGTTGTCATCGTGCTCGAACGACTGTTTGCCTACCTTGTCCATGATGCCGGGCAAGTGATGGATTGTTGACGCGTTTGGAAGACCGATAATGAAAAATTGAGGATTGACTGATGGTGATAGCAATGAAGCAATTGAGGTGGAAGATATGTCTGATACTTAAATAAAACAGATGTCATAGTTCTTGCTACACAGTTTCACGTCGTATCTTGGAGATTGTCAGGTTTTCGAACGAGAGAGGTTTTCCTTAGCTCCAAGTTCAGGAATCAGCTGTTCTAGAATCGTGGAGACCCCAGATTTTCGCCAAGACTAATTTAGTGTCTGCCCCTACGCGAGCTGAACGCCAGGGACGACGCTATTGGGGTAACTAAACCGCGGCTTGGGGTTCATTGAGGTCGCGAGACGGAGTACAATGACCAGGATGTCACGTCCTTGGCGGCGATGTTAAGTTCCTTGGCTTATTGTGGCCATGATCTGTTTCGCGCAGCAATTTTGTGGGTAGCCGCCTTGAGGACAATATTTAAGATTTCTTTACTTGACTTTTTGAATCACTGTCTCTCTTCTTTTACATCAGTTCACTTACCTATTCCCTCAAACTTTCATGCTTAAAATTAAATCCATAACACAATGACGAGTGGACCTCAAAACACAAACGGTACCTCTAACGGTACAAATGGCGCCGCCAATGGACATGGGCCTCTAAGCACTATGCCCGGACCCAACCATGACTACAAGGTCACCCTACAAGACAAGGTTATTGCCAGTATGTAATTTTGAGTCACCAAATCACGCAAAATTGATCGATGCTAACAATAAAAGTCACTGGTGCCAATCAGGGCATTGGCCTGGGCATCGCCGAAGTCTGCCTTGTTAACGACGCTGCTTTCGTCTACAGCCTCGACGTTACTGAACCTTCAGAACCCTTTGAAACTCTACTCAAACGCTTCCCGGGAAGATTAGGTTTCCAGAAATGTGATGTGACCAATGAAGAGAGTGTGACTTCTGCCATAGATGCTATCATCGCTGCAAAGGGCCGTTTCGATGGTATGGTTGCCAACGCTGGTGCCACCAAGCATCAACCAGCCTTGGACTTTACGGCTGAGCAAGTTGAGAAGCTGTTCCGATTAAACGTATTTGGGGCCTGGAATTGTGCAACGGCTGCTGCGCGCGCATTCATCAAGCTTGGCTGCAAGGGCAGCATTGTGTTTACAGCCAGTATGACATCCTACCGCCCAAACAGAGTCAGTATCCTCCCAAACTTTCTGGCAAGACTTCTCCCCGCTAACTTTGGATAGGCTGCCCCATCAGCCCCATACGGCGCAACAAAGGGTGCAGTGCGAAACATGACCCATACACTTGCGATGGAATGGTCTCAGTACGGCATTCGAGTGAACAGCATTTCACCTGGTTTCGTCAAAACTGCTCTGACATATTATGTTGAGACGGCGCCTGACTGGGATACTAAGATGAAGTACTACGGTGGCATGCCTCGCCTGGCGCTACCGCAGGAGCTTGGAGGTGCATATGTTTACCTGCTGAGTGAGACGGCGACTTACACTACGGGAATTGATATCCCGATTGCTGGTATTGTTGGCGCTTGGTAATGGAAACCCTTTTCTATAGATAGTTACCCATCTTCAATAGATTTAATTGTATCATGAAAGAAGCTCAATGTTGTACTTCATTCTTTGCAGCTGGGACTGGTAACAGACTGCTTGCCTTTTCACTACTCACTTGAATAGCGCTGAAATGCCAACAAAGGATGTTAAACGTAAATCATAGATTAGATAAAGGCAAATGTTTATATTGCCGTATGGTGTTTTGGAAATAAGGCGCTCTTTCTGCTTCATCCCCCACAACTGGATGGAGATATCGATAGGGTTTACACAAACTTAATAAGCGAAAACATAATGACATGAAACTTTATGTAAAAGCTTTCAACGCATACAAGATATCATACACTTTATCTCACTCTTTACTGAGAACCGAGAAGTGGAAAAAAGTTGTAGAAGTCCCCTTATCAGAGATTAATAAAACTCATTGTTTTTGGTGTCTACTTCAATCTCCCAATCCTATGCAGCTGCTACTGGCGCTGTTATGAGTTGTTGGCGGTCGTAATCCTCAATGATCTTGACCTTGGCAGCAGATGACGAGTTCTAGAACAGAGTTAACAATGCACTCGCTGGAAGAACAGCATAGATGTACGTACGGGATCAAATTGGTACCCCAGCCATTCCTTCACCAGCCTCTTAGCTAGCTCAATCCCAACAACCCGTTGTCCCAAACACAAAACCTGAGCATTATTACTCAAAACCGAACGCTCAACAGAGAAGCTATCATGTGCTGTCACAGCCCTGATACCACGAACTTTGTTGGCAGCGATGGCAACACCAAGTCCAGTTCCGCAGATCAACAAAGCTCTGTCGGCTTCACCCTTTGCCACTTTCTCTGCAGCTGCGATGGCGAAGTGCGAATATGCAGTTTTGTCCTCCTCTGACGAAGGACCAGCGTCGATGACCGACGAAACACGGGGGTCAGTGAGAAGTTGTTGGGCGATGATGGACTTGTAGGGGAAGCCGGCGTCGTCCCCGCCAATGACAATGCGAAGTCCGGATGGCATTGTATGTCAGCAACGTAGTAAAGAAGAAATTATTGGTACTTAATCCAAATCTCAAAGCTCAATATTGATAACCAAATAAATTTGGTCTCTGCCTTTGTTGTGTACTTTATGCTCTTCCAATGCCTTTTCCTTCGGACGCGCCCGGAAGCGAATCATAGTCGCAAAGCAGGTATTGCGCTTCGAGGTCAAGCTGCTAAAGTCGACAAGGTTCAGACGAGTAAAGCTAGCTCGAGTTGGGTTAGTCTCCGCTGCAGAATTACCTCGAGGCGCGAATGTGCGGAGACACTTTTGGGTGTTAGTGCAAGGATTAATGGCAGGGTGCCATGGGTGATTGAATCAAGCACAGCCTGACCGAGTAGACAATCTTGCTTATACATTCAGTCAGTATAGAAGCAGAGATTGCTTTCAATTTAGCAGCCAAACATCGCAAAATGACTTTCACTTGGGAACCGCAAAACAACAAGACCTGCCAGATCCTCAAGGCAGCTGAGGATGGAGGCTACGGAGTCGTTGCACCGATAGCTTACAACATCGAGCACATTCTGGCTTTTGTACGAGCTGCCGAGGTCAAACGTAGTCCTCTTATCATCCAAGTCTTCCCTTGGGCCATCACCTTTTCATCTGACCTCCTCATCCACGCAGCAGCACACGCAGCGCGGAATGCTTCAGTTCCCGTCGCAATCCACTTAGATCATGCACAGGACGAAGCAATTATTCGACATGCCGCTGATTCTCTCCCCTTTGATAGCATCATGGTCGATATGAGCCATCACGAGATGGAAGAGAACCTGTCCAAGACCAAGGAGCTGGTTTCGTACTGTCATGCGCGTGGAATTGCTACTGAAGCTGAACCGGGGAGAATTGAAGGAGGGGAAGACGGAATCGCGGATACAGCTGATTTGGAGGGGGCCTTGACGACTGCGGAGCAGGTTGAGGATTTCATTGCGACTGGGATTGATTTCCTTGCCCCTGCATTTGGTAACGTACATGGAGAATATGGCAAGCGTGGTCCTGTTCTCGAATTTGATCGGTTAGTAAAACCGCTAAGTGATTACATCAAGTCTAACAAGGTCTTCAGGCTTGAGATGATACGATCAAGAGTCAATGGGCGCGTGAGAGTTGTCCTCCATGGGACCAACGATTTCCCAGAGGATATAATGAAGGCCTGCATCAAGGGCGGTGTGTCCAAGGTCAATGTGAACAAGCTTGTCTTGGATGACTACCTCATTCACATCAAGGAACAAGCCTCGAGGCTCAACTTGACGACACTGATGGAGGAAGGTGTAGAGAAAGCTCAGAAGCTGACGGAGTGGCAGATGGATGTCTACGGTTCTTCAGGGAAGGCTTAAGAGAAGCTATACCATAGTTCATTATCATCAATTATGAGGGTGACTTTACTGGCTGAGTCTTGTGTTCTCAGAAGGCGTCCTGACTTCCTTCCAGATCTGCCTTGGCCCACTCTGTTCTCAAATCATCTCTCCACATCTTCATAGGGACCCAGTTAACTCTAGCCTCACAAGCCTCCATCAAAGAAATAACTTTTTCACGCTTATCAGCTTCTTGCAAACAAAGACCCGCCCCGTAAAGGCACTGCGCTGAGACGATTTGACAGGCCTCATCCTTCAAGTCCATAGCTATCCCGCAGATGGTGTCTACAGATTGCGTGAGTGTCTTTTGCATTCTTAGATACCCATTAAATCCAGCCGGTATTGGACTATGAAGTGCTATCAATATTTGCGCAAAGGCAAGTGCCTGCAACGCAGCCCCAAATTCTGGTGGGTGTATCCAAATTCTTTTGAAGATGTCAGTGGTTTCGGAGGGTGATGGAAGGGGTTGGTATTGCTCGCCGAAGTGAGACTTGAGCTCTTCTATCTTGTTCAAAATGTCAACTCTCGCACGACCCAAGTCCACTGGCGCTAGACGATTTGTTGTCGAGCCGGATACGGCAGCATGGGAATGTGCATAGTAATTCACCGCCTGAGAGAGAAGATATATAGCTCTCTCTGCCAAGTCATGCTGATCAAGCTCACTGAGGTCCTGAACTGGAACCCAGAAACTGAGGCAGGGTCTCTTTTCCCTGAACGCAGCCCAGATGTCCTGACGGAGCCAAGCCCACCAAACAGCCTGGCGAAGGCCACCAGAGCCTCCGTTTACGTCTTGAGATCTCTGTATCCAGAAGACGCCCTTTAGGTGTCTCTGCCAGTTTCCCCGCCCATCTGATTCATCGAGCATTTCGTACGACGAGATAACAATGGCAGTGGCTAGAAGCTCTTCTGATTTGGTGTAGCTTGTATAGGCTAGAGCTTCCTGTACGTAGTGAAGTGTCTCATAGTAATGTCGGATCGACTCGTTATCCGTTACAGTACGGTTGCTGGGACTGGGTAGCTTGGAGCGATGACGTGCAGCGAGAGCAAGAATGGCATGAAGAAGCCCCGGGTCTTTCAGTGCCAGTCTGATAACGTATGTAGAGAACAGCCTCTGAGGATGGAAGAGGTCCAGCCATAACGCACACTTCTCCGCAAAGTGGCGAAGCAGAACAGCTTCATGCGGCGACAAAGTTGCCGGAC